ATATGAAGAACTTCCTGACTTCTAAATTTTAAATCTTTAAGTTTAGATGTCTCAGCCTCAGCAATTTTAAGATGTGTGGACTTCAACTCCCAGAAATCCTCAGATAGCATGGGAGTTAACGTCCATACATCTTAAAATTGCTGAGGCTGAGACATCTAAACTTAAAGATTTAAAATTTAGAAGTCAGGAAGTTCTTCATATTTATTGTTAGAAAACTTCTTCCAAAAGTTTTGTCAAATTAATATAATTTTTCTCTATTCATTGGAAATGCCTTTAGAAAGTGTTTCATTTTTTTGCAACAAAATTTTTTAGACCTTGGCTGTTTGCATCAGGAAGTTCTTCATATTTATTGTTGGAAAACTTCTTCCGAAAGTTTTGTCAAATTAATATAATTTTTCTCTATTCATTGGAAGTGCCTTTAGAAAGTGTTTCTGTTTTTTGCAACAAATTCTTTTAGACCTTGGCTGTTTGCATCTGAAATATTTACACGGTCATAGAAAACCATATTTTATACAACATTGCAGTATGAAATGGTAAGGTAAAAGTAACATTTTAACAAATATTTAGGCTGCATTCAGACAATATAGCCAAGCCATGACTTGGTTTGCATAATATGGCAAGCCAAAACTAGAGATACTACATTTTGGTTTACCATGTTATATGAACTAATCCTTACATTTGAAATTATGGTATTTTCACCGCCTCCACTCCTCCCACATTACCTATGTCCATTCAATTGTGGCTGTGCCCACAGGAAGCCACAGTGACGCAAAAATAACATCCGTTCAGAGGTATCATGCTGCCAAATACATACTTACATCCCAATGTCTGATGCAAGTATGTTGCAAGATTTCCATCATGGTACACATTATATCCTTTATTTCCCCCCTTATTTTCAAGTCAGCCTTCCTTGTTTCCATTCTTTCTAAAACTGCACAAAGTGGCAACAAAAATAGTCACTGGGGCTTGAAATAGACTGAAGGTGTAATGGCAAAACATGATGAAATGGCAGGATCTACCACTTCCAGCTTCTCTCAAAGAAAACTGAGGAATCTTGAAAGCAGTACAAGTTGCAAGTACAAGAATGGGAAAAAAAATTCTAAATCAGTGGTTTTTTTTTAATTAGGCAACTTTTAAGACATGTGGACTTCAACTTCCAGAATTCCCCAATCAGTATATATTGCCAACTTTGCCCAGTTTCTAAATGGAGAATTTTAAATAAAAGTAGTGCTTGTGACTCATTCCCCTTTGTGACTTTGGTTCTTTTAAGCTTTATTTGACTGTAGGTTACAACAGGATGGAGTCTTAAGAGATGGCAAGGGAATCCTACAGTCAGACCTAGACCGTTCCTTCTGCAGGATGTGATGAAACTGGGGATTGTTTCTTTTGCTAAGTAGTGATGTGCCCAAAGCGGAACAATCAGGTGCTGGAATTAACCAACTATACTGGCTGCCCTACAGAATCAGGACAACACCTTCAGCAAAGTCTGTAGATATTCTTAGTCATCCAGGTCATGGTTGTTCGAAAGGTGCATTTTTCAGGAGGCAACTGGACTTTCTTGTTTTTTCTTTTGAAGACGTTTCGTTTCTCATCAGAGAAGCTTCTTCAGCTCTGACAGGATAGTGGGGAATGGAAGGATTCATATTCCTTGTAGACAGTGCTTTAACCACCCTCTAAAACTGTGGTGGTGAACCTATGGCACACGTGCCGGAAACGGCACAGAGAGACATCCCACGTGGGATGCACGCCCTTGCTGGCTTCTCTTCCACATTCCTGTGCACACACGTGTGCTGGCCAGTTGGCCTTCACTCGTGCGGGAGCACCAAAACTCAGAAGACCAGCATTCTGGTGCGCATGCGTGCATTGGCACCCAAACTTCCTTGTTTCTGTTGAGTGCATGTCCGACAGCTAGCTGTTTGTCTGGCATGCACCCAGTCTGGAAACCAGAAGTTTGAACGTGCTCTTCCAGGTTTTGATGTTCCCGCGTGCGTGAATGTCAGCAAGATTTGCGCATTCCTTACGGGATGGTTTTGCGTGAATTTCCAGCAGGCAGGTTGGCACGGTGACGAAAAAGTCTTGTCATCACTGCTCTAAAAGGATGCAAATGACCAGCTGTCTGCAAGAAATACAAATCCTTCCATTCCCCACTATCCTGCCAGAGCTGAAGAAGCTTCTTGGATGAGAAGTAAAACGTCTTCAAAAGAAAAAAACAAGGAAGTCCAGTTGCCTCCTGAAAAAAAAAAGCACTTTTGGGACCTCCTTCAGCAATGAGTCAAAACAAAAGCAAGCTAAATTGTCCAGGTAGCTATTATATTTCTTGCCAGTTGAAGGAGAGGTGAAGACAGTAGCACTTCAGCAGCAGAGAAATCCTTAGTCTCCTTCCATCTCTCCACGTCAAACATAGAAGCGAAGCTGTGGTTGGGTCCATGCTTCCCAGACCAGCACCCACGTCGTCATTGACCCCAATCCTTTGCGTCCTCACAACACGTGGAACACACATTCAGTTATTGAGCCGGCGGTGCTTTAAAATGCAGGTCACCAGGAGAGATCCCTTTCCCCGGAACCCGGTCCAAACCTCTCCCGGACTTGGACTCTCCTGCTCCGGTGTAACCTTCACGAAGAACGCTGGGGTCAGAACCACCGCTAGGGAAGAAAAATTTGGCCTGTTACTTCCCAGGGAAACTGCTCCAAAAATGACCGGAGGCTCCAAAGTCCGTAGTGTCGTCTGAAGTCGCTGCAAAAATAGAAAGCGAGGGGCTCCCCGCGAGGCTCCTGGAACTACGCGCACAATCGTCCCCCGTTCCGCTTTCCCTCTTTTCGCCCTCCGCGACGCCTTCCGCCGGATGGTGTCACCGCGAAACCTTTCCCCGAGACCGCGAGGGGCGGCTTTAAGGGGAACACCAGTTGTCGTGGAACCCGGAAGTGTCCCGGCGGGCGTGGAGAGCGCAGCCCCTTTGACCCTCGGCGGCCCCTTTTCTGTTGGGCTGACCCTGAAAATGAGGGTCCCGGCGGCGGTGGGTGGGCCGGAGCTCCGCGGTTTGTGAGGCGGCGCCTGGGAAGAACGGCTTTTGACCTTGGAGGGGGGGAGGGAGTCTGATACGAAAACGGACTTGGCGGGCAGGAGAAGAGCCGGAGGCTGCTTGGCCAGAGTCTTACTCAGGAGACAGATGCGAAGACGGCAAGCGGGAACACGCATCTGGACGCGTGTCAGGCTCGAAGGCAGCGGAGGGTGGGGGGTTCAACGGGAAAGAAGGGAGGGGGCTCAGCACCAGAAGCACGAAGCTGCCACCTCTGGGACCTGTTTCGGGGGGAGACGCCGAATTTCGGGGTTCGCGTGGAAAGCCCGTCCTTGAAAGGTACATGGTGGTTTGCATGTTTTCTTCTGTGTCCTGGGAACTTCTGAGTATATAGTGCCGCTTTAATGAGGAATGTTCTGTTGTCGTGGACCGTAAGAATATAAATTATGGGCGATGAAGTGTGAGTAGGAGGTTTCTTAAGAAGCTGCGGTTAACTGAGTTGAAAGGTATGCTAAGTCATGTTATGACACTGCGACAAGTGAAATAGACGATGCACATAGTGGAAACTATTTTTTTTGGGGGGGGGGAGAGACACAACTGGGGCAGTAGTGTTATGTGGTAAAGTTAGATATTTTACAGTATTTTTTAAAATTTAAAATTTGCTTGCTTGCATTCTGACAAGAAGATCATGTATGGGTAGAATACACATTTATTCAAAGTACCGTACATCAGTATTAATGCCCTAATTGTATTTTGCACTTAAAGCAAACTTGTATTGTTGCCTAAGAGCAAATCGGTTACAGAATGTGCTAACATTTAATTTGCTGTAGATTTCAGTCCAATGTAAGATTATAGAGTTAAATCATTGATTAGGTTAAAATGAAGCCCAAATGCAGAAATTTAGCTTTGACTTAGCATGATGTTTGGAAGAAGACGTCATGTGGGTTGCAATCCTTTTAATTTCAGGCTTATTTCATAAAAGTCATTGTTTGATGGATATGATTGTGTATGTATACATAAACAAACAGACATGCATGTAATGGATGGTGGTGGTGGTGGGGTTCCAAAGGAAGGAGGTTTTGTTGTACTAAATTTAGTTTGCTGGATATATACTTCTAATAGCAATATCTTTACTATCATTTAGCTGATAATAAAAGCCACAGATTCCACTGGATTTACTTCTACTTTTTAATACCTACTTATATATTGCATTAAATTTTCAAGTATACAATGTATATAAATCAATATACATTGATCCAAAGTGTTAGAATACAGTATAGCATTTTAAATTCCTGAGTTTTTGTTTAATACATGTGAACCACAGCTAATCCTAAATTATTATGTATACTAAAGTTACAATATGTTTTCTTAAAAGGCTCTTGTGAATAAAGGCACAATGCTGGAATCCTATGTAACTCCTATTCTAATGAGTTATGTGAATCGTTACATCAAGAATTTGAAGCCCTCTGATTTACAGTTGTCACTCTGGGGAGGAGATGTAGTTCTCAGCAAACTTGAGCTAAAACTCGATGTTCTTGAACAGGTATATAATTGTAATTATTTTGATTAAATCTTAAATAAAACTTTATCCTAAAGTTATTCTTAATGATAACAGTCTACGAATAGTATATTACAATATATATTATATATTATAACTATATGATATAATTGATTAATATGTCATGTGTCCTTGTTATGTTGATAAATACTGTTTGTGTCTAAACACTTCTATATAATATATGTAATAATTTTGGAAGGATTTCAATTAAATTAAGCAATTATCAAAATATTGAAATAGGCCTATGGTTTCTATTATATGAATAAATAAGCTTTCTTTGATACTTAATGACAGATACTATGTAGCAATAATACTTTAAAAAATCTAATTCTGTTAAAACATTCTAAATTAACATTTTGTACATTGAAGTCTTAAGTGTAAAGTACTTATAGCTATCAATATTTATTTTTCATTGTTGACATGTGAACTGGTTATTGTTAAAGCTTACATTTGAATCAGTGGCAATTATCAAGCAATTGATATTAATAAGTTCTTATAAGTCAGCAAAAAGAGCATAAACATCTCACATAATTGTAGATTAAAATTGCAGTTACAAATATACTGTTATTGTCTGGGTTGTCAGCTTTAAGTGCTCCATTATAGTTACTATTTCATGTTTAATTATTAATAATACTGAGAGATGGTAGTTTTTTCTTCAGTTATTTTAGTAACTGTATTTTCTTCTTTGACATATACATACACCCACCACTTTGCTTTATCAGTATATATTATACTTCTAAAAATTTAGTTCTCATGTAGAAATTTCATTTCTCATAGGGACGATATCAATAAGGCAGACATTGTGTTTTCCTATGTCTTGTTTATTTAGTCTCTCAGTCCAGAAAATAATGCAGATCCATAGATATATGATTCATGTGAATTTCTGCTTTAGAGCAAATTTCATATATTGAGACATAAGTTGTGATTTGTAGTTTCTTGTGCCCATGTAGAAGGTCTAGCTTATATAACTCTAAACTTCTTGAACGGTTACATTAAATGGGATTGTTTCCTGAAAGATGCTGTAAGCAGTATTTTAGAAACCATTCATCGGCAGAAATCATGGCTTTACATGGTTAACATATTTCATATTTTGTAAGCTATGCATTTTTACTGTCGAATCTTCAAGTATCAGTTATAAAATCCAAACAATCCATGGAATTTGAATTCTCTGAAATCCAGTTATTTTGAATTGGAAAACATATTCCAGCAAATTATTGGACGTGCGCGAATATTGTTAGCTATTAAAAAAAGAAATATGCTGAACTAAGTTTTAATAATTGTAAGTAGGTGTTGAGGCAACCCATTTCATTTAAATTAGGTTTTAATAGCTAACTCAGTCATCTCATGTACTTTACTTTCAAGGAGCTGAAATTGCCGTTTACCTTTTTAAGTGGACACATTCATGAATTGCGTATTCATGTACCATGGACAAAACTTGGTTCGGAACCAGTCGTGATTACGATCAATACAATGGAATGCATCTTGAAGTTAAAGGATGGACTCCAGGTAACAACTGGCAAGCCTAAATAAAATAAGACAGTGTGAACTGAGTCATACGACATCTTAACATTGTTAGTTATTATTAAAAGTATTTTGTGTTAATAATGTTATGTGTAGAATTTCGGAAAACGCTTTATGATTTTTGTGAAATTATGATTGAAAGTTTAGGGAAATTATGTTTTCCCTCAAAGCAGTTGGTACCGCTTTTTTGCTGAACTGGCGATAGATTTGGGATTGAGCAGTCGAATTCCTTCAGTTTTCTTTTTCTTTTCAACCAGCTAGTGCTCTAGATCTCTTTATTTGTTAGGAACAGATATAGAAGTAGCATCTTTGACTTAATATCATTTGATCCTTCTGTATTACTGCTTGAATTCCATGCAAATCTTATTGACTTGGATTTTATCTTTATAGTCTAGTAACTGGATATTCTGATTTGAGGTTGAACATACTCAGTGGTTGGGAAGCATATGAAACTTGAGTTGTCAAGGTTTTCTTGGCTAACATCACAATTGGAAATGTCACTTGCAGAGATTTAAAGATTCAATTGTTGATAAATTTATTGCAAAATTGAATTCATTATGAAAGAATTTCAGCAATTGCTATAGGTCAGACTAAGCTCTATTTATAGTGAAATAGAGTTTCAAATTCCTGAACCATTTTTTTCTGCTTTTGTGGTGCAATCTGTTTTAATCTACTTTCTTCTGGTGGGAGGGATAGTCTCTGCATGTCCTTTATTTATTATTTTATATTATCCTGCTTTTATTATTTTTATAAACAACACAACAACAACCCTGTGAGTCGAAATGGGCTGAGAGAGAGTGACTGGTCCAAAGTCAGCTAATTGCCTTTTGTGCCTAATGCTTATAATGGACTAGTCTGGATTTAAATTGCTTGTTTTTGACATTGTAAGAATGTGTCTTTACACCTGTGAAATAATGGAATTTTGCAGTTATGAATTATTTCCAGTATAAATGTAGATGACTCTTCCAGATTTATCATAGTAAGGAGGTAAATATATACATTAGCATTAATGTATTTGAAATTTATTAATGTATGTACTAATTTACTAGAATTAAGAATCAGGTTCTAAAAAAAAGGAAGCCATCATTTACCCAAATTGTATAATTGGTGAAATGGGGCCTAAATGTCAAATACATTACAGGTAATCCTTGAATTACAACCGTAATTGTATCCAGAATTAAGGTTGTAAATTGTGCTGGTTTTTAACTGGGTCATCACATGACTCTGCCTAATTTTATGACCTGTTTTGCAGTGGCCATTAAGTGAATGCAATGGTTGTTAAGAGAACCCTTTTTAGCCAATGGCCGTTTTGTTTGTTTGCAAGAACTGGATGTAAACACTGGTTTCTGACAAAGATCATTATAAATTGTGGTTATAGGACCACAGGATGCTGCAAACTATCATAAATGTGGGCAGGTTGCTGAATGCCCTAAATGCGGTCATGTGACCACAAGGTGGGGGGATGTGGCTAAGTGACCAGTCACAAGTCAAGGACTACCAGCACTTAATTTTCCAGATTTGCCGTTCCTGGTCCAACATTTACTTTAAGAGCATATTTTGAATAATCTTCTGGTTCCCTGCCCACACCAATCATATTTGCAGAAACTGAAGGGAGTAAATTAATGAAAAATTTCTTTGTGCAACTAACTAAATGGAATTTACTGCATTGCTGCAAAATTTACTAAAGGCAAACTGCTTTTGTAAGAATTTTGTTTAATCTATCAATGATACTTCTATTACTGGTTGGCTTCTGCAGCTTGCTGGCCGAAGAGTCAGTTCTTTGTTTTCACATTTGAGTAAGATGTTTCAGTGCAGTATAAAACTTAAATCCAGATCCTGGGCTAAAAAAGCCATAACTTTCATGCTTCGTTGTGATCCAGTCTCTGGCCACTGTTGGGGAGAGAAAAAAAACTTCATCCAAGTTCAACCTTGTTCTATCCTGCTTAATATTCTAAATCAACAATTGAACTCTGGAAATCATTCCTCTCTATTACATATACTTTTCTTTTAATTACTAATTAGTAATTAATTAATTACTAATTTGTTAGATCTTTTCCCCCTCTTTACGTAGCGTATTTTCAAGAAAAAAATAACAAATGTTTAGAAAGAAGGGGTTTCCTCCATTATAAGGGAATTCTGTGTAGTATGGTAGACATTGATATAAAACCGTAAAACATAAAATGGCAAAGATGGTTAGAGCAAGAATTTCAATAGCAATCAATTGAAAAAAATGTTATTACTATTGTTAGGTGGCTTGTAGCGTAGACATTTCCATGGCTGTTTAATGGACAAATTCTACTAATGAAAGGACGGGAGCTGAGGCACAGTTATAAAAGTATACAAGAAATCTGTTAAAAGCATAACACAGACTTTAATTGTACTGTGGAAGTACAACAATTTTAACAATATTGTTGTTAAAATAGCAGTATTGCAACAATAATAACAGGTCAAAAGCCCAACCAAAAGAAGCACACACATTAAAACAGTAAAAACGAATAAGTAGAATATACATAGGATTTAAATCAACTTGAGCAATGACGGATTATTAAGTATATTAGATAACTGAAAATCTAATAGCAGCAGCATTTTCATCACATTTAGTGACTTAACTGGAGCTATTTGGTGATCAGTCAGCTAGAAGAAAGCAGATAGTTTCCTCTGATTTTACATGGTTGTGAGTGAAGAGGGGCATCACAAGAGAATGTGTTAGATTTTTTCTGCTTCCTTTAACCAGAGGAACCTGGTGTCTGTATGTAGTATAAAGACAGGTAAGGTATTATGTATGTATGTCCCCTCTATGTGGAAGGCCATCTTAATATCTCTCTCATCAAAACTCTAGGGTTTCTCTAAAGCAGTGGTAGTCAACCTGGTCCCTACTGCCCACTAGTGGGTGTTCCAGCTTTCATGGTGGGCGGTAGGGGTTTTGTCCGATATTGAAGCACTTTCATTGACTTTTTAAAAAAATTTCATAGCATTATTTAAAAACATTTTCATTAGGTTTTCATAAAATCAACATTACTGTGGAACTGGTGGGCGGTTAGAAAATTTTATCATTACAGAGAGATACAAAAGTGTGCAATAGATATAAAAAGGTTGACTACTCCTGCTCTAAAGCATTTCAGGAGTAGGTTCCGTCAGGCACTACTGCCGGTTTGCTCGTGTGCGCATGCACAGTGCAATAAAAATTGTTCTGTGCATGCGCAGAAGTAAAAACAGGATGGACAACCAGTTCGGGGGAGTGGCAGGCCTGGGTCGCTGCCGGTTCCAGCGACCCAGGCCGCCAAACCACTACCGGTTCGGCTGAACCGGTCCAAACCAGTAGGAGCCCACCATTGATGAATTCGTTTTTTGCCAACAGCATTTTCTGATTTGGAAATTATTTTGTTGCTCTCGCCTATGCCTGATATGTGTACCTCAGGGATCTCTGTTATCATGTTAAAAAAAGAGAGAACTACTATCCAATCTTAATATTTCCCTTGGTTATTTAATATATTTATGGATAAATATATAAAGCAAGCTTGTATTGACAATAAGTTTTGTTAATTGGCTTGTGTCAACCAATAGGTTTTGACTAATGAGAATTTGTTAATTATGAATGCATGTGTACTTTCATATGCAGGTGAATCTTGGCTTGGCTAAGGACTCATGATTTCTAATGAATGTTAAACAGATTGTAGGATGCAATGAAAATTATATTTTAAAGAGGGAAACGGTTGTATTCAATAGAGGAGAAGGATTGCAAATTATACCTAAATAGCACAAAACTGGAGGAAGTAGATTTTGTATGCCTTGGTGGAATACTCTCTAAATGTAAGAAAATGAATACAGACATAATATCTACAAATGCAGATAGGAGAGTAGTGTGAAGAAATAATATTAAGGAGAAGCATAAGACTATGCTTCTGTACTGTTGGTTATTTATTTGACTACACAACTTGCACATTGTAACTCTGGTGGTTAAAGCAGGATTAAAACCAAAGCCCCTAAATCAAAAATATAAAGACACCATAAAGAAAATAATAATATAAACAAGTCACAGTCATTCAGTTTCCAGCCTTTACAGTAGCTTGGATAATTGCCTGGGAAAAGCCAAGGTCTTACTGGAGATTGGGGCCATCTGAATCTTGTTGGGTAATTAATGCTGTTCCAAAGCATGAATGTTACAACAGAGAAGACACACCTTTTAAGTGCCATCAGATAACAGTGTTTCATACCATCTCATGCAATGATAATGTCTCTTGGAGGCATACTTATCCTACAAGTAACTTGGCCCTGGCCATGGACAAGTTTATAGGTGATAATTGGTGTCTTGTTATATGGGAGCAATGGTTGGAGATGACAGAAGAAATGTAAAAGTAAATTGAATTCAATGGGAATAAGTTACTAAAAATTGTGTGTGGTACAACAAGAATAGTTAAAGTCAAGAAAGAATGGGTGTGGAATGAACATGAATTGAATACAGTTGACTGATCAATAAGAAAGGAGTAGGTTGAGATGATTTGGTCATATAGAGACAATAAATGAGGTTTGAATTATTCTATTATAATGAAAGGTTGAGAAGAAAGGGAATATTGAGAAAAATACAGCTGGAACTAGATTTAAGATTAAATAACGACAGGCAATATATGAAGTGATGTATGAAGTGATGAAAGCAAAATATATACCCAAAGAGAATAGAGTGATGGACATATATGTATCTAGTTTTTACAAATGTAGTTTGTTCTTTCTCTTTTAGATGGTTTATGTTTATTTGTCACTTGTAGGGGTTATTTAAGCATTGGCTCCTGAGAGTGATAACCCATATTTTAAGCCTATTTATTTTCCTTCAGTAATCATTCTTGTTGCATTTCTACGATGATCTTGTAAAACGTACAAGAGAACTGAATCTCTGTATAGAATGCTTTGCAGTATGATCTATGTTGATTGAAAAATAAGGATTTTCTCAAGGTAAAGTATGCAGAAGTGCAGCGTTGCTGTTCTTAATA